CACACACACACACACACACACACACACACACACACACACACACACAGAGAGAGCGAGAGAGAGAGAGAGAGAGAGAGAAAATGCTCACACAAAAAGCTATCCTATTGAGATTTACTGAATGTGAGTGCAGGAGCCAGTGACAGCCTGGTGCGATCAGTCAGCTGATTTGGAGCTTTCCTGCACTCTATAAACACGCCTGCTTTCAGTAACAGTCAGTGCTAAGAACTGAGCAAAAGCCCTGCCCATCTTCAGCCCACCTTCACCCGGTCATAAACAGAACACTTTGGGGGAGTGCTGGGTTGCTTTGCTGCGGTGTGCTCACTACGCCGCTCTGGGCGTTCACCATCAAGAGTTAAGACATTCCACTTAAACGCGGGTTCACCGAGGAGACGACTGCGTGCGTCTCCACACCGTCTCCTCTCCTATCAGCGTGTCGTCAACCCTGCTCGGCTCAGCCGCGCACTGTTTACATCAAACACACTTTGGGTTCAACAATTGCCGAAGCGGCATAAAAGCTCTGCGTGTGCCAGAGCGGAGGAAGAGGGACGAGCACGGAAAGTCTCCGAAATTTGAAGAAAAAGAGCTTAATGAAGGAGTTGGACATTCAACAAAGATGAGAAACAGTGAAACAAGCAGCTGAATGTTATGTTTCAGTGTAGAAGACATTTTCTGATAATACAGTACATGCTGGATGTTATATAAGTCTGATAGGAATGAGGAAAGTTTTAAGATGGCTCAAAGACTTGTTTTGTGCTAAATCTAGTTCTGATGATGCAGTCCTTGTAATCCTACCTTTTACTTCTGCCAGCAGCTCACTGGTGTTGAGCCTCTCCATCTTCTCTTTCCAGTCTTTAGAAAGTAATTTTTCCATGCATGAAGATTCTAAAAAAAAACATTTGAAACCATTTATTAGTATTTTATTTATTTTTTATCTGTTTATATAAGGTAGCTTCACTTTGAATAATTCTGTGGATGCCATAAATGTATTCAGTCAGGGCATCAGATGAAAGGAAGGTATTTTATTTGATGGCGAACATTAAAAGACACTGTGCCTGACTGTTGAGAGATGAAACCAAGGATGGAGTAAGGAGGGAAGAAGGCTTTGTGGTGATAGCTTAAGGGCAGCGGCACACATTAAGTGAGAGGAAAGGACTAAGGACTGGGTACGTCCAAACCTTCACACAGCTGCCAATGATGAAAACAATTAACATTTGTCCAGCAGACAATGAATCAGAGGAGGAATGGCTGCAATCTGCCATGCTGTCGCTGGTGTAGCTGATAAAGAACACACTGGGCTGGCTGACCCAGGCCTCCACCATCTCTGCATTGTACCGGGTTCAGCTTGTTCCCATCAAATACCAGCAGCACATGCATGGCTCCAACCATTCCACCTTGAGTCACTCCTTCCACAGTCTGTCTCCAGTCTGGACCAGAGTCTCACTAAGCATCTTCAGCTAATTGGGGATCTTTATAAACATCAAGAAAAAACAAAACTCAAACTTTTTTTTTAATCATAAGAAAATATATTTTTTGGAGTGGAGCGCTTGTCTCGCTGTAAAGTGTTTCTGAGTTAACGGCAAACAAAATGTTTCTAATTGACACAAAACATTAAAGACACACAGAAAGTTAAAGAAGGAGCCCATCACATGCAGCGTTCTGGCCTCTTCCAGTTTCCATTATCATTCCTGACATCAAACACAGAGGAGATTTATACAGTCGAGGATGTATACAAGTGTTGTTTCCTTTTATCCGTTTGTTACATCTCTTGCCCGCTTCCACAAAGCAAACACCACTGTTCCCTCCGACAAACACACTGACTTCAGAGAAACTGGGAGTAACAGAGGGGGGTCAGTAGTTCTCGTGGCCTTGTTTAGAGATGGCTTTTTGGGAGATCAAGCAGAGTCACCATTTTTGTTTGATTGTCCACTTCCTCCAGTGTGATGGGGGTCGACGGGACATCTTCAGCTTAGGGTCATTATAACATTACTTCTGCTTTATTGACTTTCCAATTCCCAACTCACAGTTTGTCCCCTTGACCCCGAGGGAGGGAGGGAGAAAAGGCAATGTCTTCTATGTGTGTGGGTGTGTGTTGGTGAGTGTTAACTCCCTGCGTGGCACAAAGATCACAGATCTTAAAACAGGGGTTAAGGGCAGAGGGAGTAGCAGAGATCAGCTCTTCTTCCCTGCATTTCACCCCTGGGTGAGATGGTTTCCTCTTCCAGAACAACAAAATCCCTCTTTTTTTTTTGTAGACAAAGCAGCAACACTGTTTGATAAGTTTCGCTTAAAACAAACCAAGGCAAACATATGATGTTTGTTTGCACACATATGCTCCCACTCTCAAACACTCACACATATGTACGCCCTCTTTCAGAACAGATGCTCCTCCAGCACTTGATCATTAAGGAATGCACCAACAGTTGAAGATAATGTGGTGCCAGCTTCCATTCTACTCCAGTCCTCCCCCTCCCTTTCCACCTCCCTCCCAGGAGAGCTGCCGCGCCTTCGCTTCTTCATCCCCTCCGCTGGGCCAGACACAACCCGTCAAGTCCTGCAGCACGGGAAGCTACAGCTGGAATGCACTGCTGTCCTCCCCGAGCTTCCACCTGAGAGAGGTGAATAATGACCCGGATTAATCTGTAAAATAACTCTCAAACGCCTTTTACTGTTCTCCCAGCGCAGACAAAAACAGGCAACCGAAAATGGGTTTGGTGAAAAAGGCAGCAACTTTGTGTGTGTGTGTGTGTGTGTGTGTGTGTGTGTGTGTGTGTGTGTGTGATAAGCTTTAATCCGTCCATTAGAATGGAT